CATTTCTTTGTGACTGCTACTTCAAGCATTGAACCAAATTCTCTAAAATGAAATGTAGCTGTCTCATAGGTGTAATTTGGATGTCCCGTTATTGGTGATAATATAAAAGGGCACGTTAACATAGTTGACTATCCTGAAAACAAAACATCATTTTATTCTTTGGCAATATGTTCTCACAACCAAGTTTAAAATATGTGTTCACCAAATATTTCTCACACAGCTTCAATGATAATGGTGATTTATTTATTTTTGTTTTTATCTACCCCGGTAATCACATTAGTTTCTATAATGAAAAGTTCTCTATATATCTCAAAATTGTGTATGAACATGTTCATGAGTTGAATTCATGTCAACAAATCATCACAAATCTAACTTAATCTATCTGAACTGTCACAAAGCTTAAATTAAAATGTGCTCCCATTGAAACAGTTCTCCTAATGGGTGAAACCTCCTTGCCTATTAGCTTATGACTGTCATCCAAGTGATCTCTGTTCTGAAAGATTTACAACTGTCCGCATTACTGACAGACTAAATAGTACCGTTTCATTTAGCTTATTTAAAAGGCCCAATACTGAGTGACAAGTTATACACTAAATTTACCACCCCTAAACGTTGCCACTTAGTCTGATTGACTTGTTCTTTCCCTTTAAGAAAAAAAAAATTATAGATTTTGTGTCATTTTGTCTTGTCTTCGTAATGTGTAAAATATTGGCCAATTATAAAGTGTAGACAGATCAAGTATAGGCCGCAAGAAAGTGAAGTTACACCTATATGTGTGGCAGGCAGTTTATATTACAAACGGGTCGCTTTGTCTCTGCATAGGGATATCTGTTTAACCATTCAATACTGTAAAGTAAAATAAAATCAAAGGAAAAGACCATTTTTCATTCGTTGGCGAGATCCTGAGTTATATATGAAATCAAATATAAACCAGGACCAAAAAAAAGTCATAGTGACACTGAAAAATCACATGGAATTTGACGAATACAAAACTATTTTTGTGGTATTTTCCACACTTAATAATGTGCTGTACACATTTGATGATGGTCAATTAATGAGGCTATATTCCTCTTTGAAAAATAGTAATTTAGTCATTGAACTATAAAAAAGATGAATTCATTTGTTTTTTACAATAGACATTCGAACCACATCTTTCAAGCATTGCGAAAGGTTTTGCAGTGAATAGAAAATGATCTGTTTTCGAGAGGAAACATTCGTATCTTGGTTCTGTTGAATTCTATTCTATTGGTTATATTGTTTTTTTAACTTTCGTTCTAAATTTTAAAACATTAAAATTAGCATCAAAATAAATGTGACAAATGCCATTAACTGATTTTTATGCGAATAAAAAATACTATTGTAGTGGATTTGCTAAAATTAGTCATGTGAAGTGAATGCACATTTATTAAATATATAAGCATCCCTCGAAAAAAAAATTCTGTTCCTATTCGTGTTTGGATCCTTGATAATGGCTCTTGTTGCAGAATACAACCATTGTGATTTTGTCATTTTATTGGCATTCTGTTTTCTCATTGTTATTGTGTATACATTTTGAATCTATTTTTTTGCTGACATTTAAAGTCTGTATGTCGATTACAACACATTGCTGACTTGCAAGTCTGTATGCCGATTACAACACAATGCTGACATGCAAAGTCTGTATGCCGATTACAACACAATGCTGACATGCAAAGTCTGTATACCGATTACAACACATGGCTGACATGCAAAGTCTGTATGTTGATTACAGCACATGGCTGACATGCAAAGTCTGTATGTCGATTACAACACATGGCTGACATGCAAAGTCTGTATGTCGATTACAACACATTGCTGACATGCAAGTCTGTATGCCGATTACAACACAATGCTGACATGCAAAGTCTGTATACCGATTACAACACATTGCTGACATGCAAAGTCTGTATGTTGATTACAGCACATGGCTGACATGCGAAGTCTGTATGTTGATTACAGCACATGGCTGACATGCAAAGTCTGTATGTTGATTACAGCACATGGCTGACATGCAAAGTCTGTATGTCAATTATAACACATTGCTGACATGCAAAGTCTGTATGTTGATTACAGCACATGGCTGACATGCAAAGTCTGTATGCCGATGACAACAACACATTTCTAACATGCAAATTCAGTATGCCGATTACAACACATTGCTGACATGCAAAGTTTGTATGTTGATTACAGCACATGGCTGACATGCAAAGTTTGTATGGTGATTACAACACATTGCAACACATTGCTGACATTTAAAGTCTGTATACCGATTACAACACATGGCTGACCTGCAAAGTCTGTATGCTGATTACAACACATTGCTGACCTGCAAAGTCTGTATGTCGATTACAACACATTGCTGACCTGCAAAGTCTGTATACCGATGACAACACATTGCTGACATGCAAAGTCTGTATGCCGATGACAACACATTGCTGACATGCAAAGTCTGTATGTCGATTACAGC